AAACCTGTCTATGGTTGTTAAGGGTTGGTCGTTAAGGAGGTATTGTTCACCGGCTGGGGCGGGGGAGTCCCTCGTTCCTCTGTGATGGGGTGGGGGGTTTGGTGATATCTGGAAGGGATCATGTCTATGATTGAATTGTATGTTTTTGGAAGCTGGAATCTGAGTCCACCACCTCTGTTTAAAGTTGGTTTTTCTCTCTTAACATAGATGGCTTCCTTCACGCCCCTCTTTTCAGACACTCCAGCAACATAAGGGATTGTGATGTTTTTGCGTTTAATTTTCCCAATGCTGTCTTCTGTTGCGTGTCTTTTGGATTTCCTTGCTGATTTGATAAAAGCCCAGTTTGGATATCCACAGTTTAGGAGAGCATCTTTGATGTGTTTCTGTTCTTTTTGCTTCCCATCTGTTTTAGTAGGGACATGTTCTGCCCGGTGTTGTAAGGTTCTGATGGCTGAGAGTTTGTGTTCCAGTGGGTGGTGTGAGTCTTCTTTTTGACTCAAAAAGAAGACTCACACCACCCACTGGAACACAAACTCACAATAAAAACGGGAATTTAAAAAACAAAAGGCGATTTGATTGTTGTTTTAAAATACAAAAAAAAAAAATGAAATTCAAAGCATTTCTCTTTTTCATTCTCAAAAAGGGAAAAGTACAATTTTATAAATTATTTTAATTTTATTTTCCATTTCGGGAAACAAAAAACAAAAAAGCTTTTGAACAGAAACAAAAAAAGGTTTGTTTGTTTATATTCCGAGAACGGATGTGGTTAATTATTTGTGGCAAAAGAGCCAAAGTTAGACCTGCCTGGAGGAAAAAAGTACCTGCTGCTGTGTAATTGAGCTTCAGCAAGGACATGGAGCCAGACGTTGTTATCCGAAACAATAAAAGGGTCTCTCTCAGGACCGAGTTAAAGAAACTTCAGTATAGTTTAAAAGATATTCACAGATGTGGCTTCTCTGGATCAGTAACTCGTCGGCCGATCATTTCTTCTACAAAACCGGCAACCACAACCGTCAGGTTTCCCTCATAGGTTTTCAGCTGATGTTAATTTTCACCTGATTGGTCTAACCTGCTCTCCATGCCTGTGTTGCATATTTTATTCCAAATTGTGCATATTGTAGCTTATAATCCCTGTTCCTAGCTCCTCTTGCTCCACATTCCATAGGTCCACAGTTGGAACACCATCATTGTTTTGAAAACCACTCAGCCTTAACCGTTACAAACATCATGAGAGCATGGCAACACAGATGACTGAGACAAGTCAAAACTGGGACTTAAGCATTCAAAATTATCTAAAAAAAAAACAAAAAAAAGATGCGCAAAGGTATTTGAATGACTGAATCTCCTCTGGCCTTTGTTTTTCAAGTCTCAAACATCTGTTTTTTTCAAATCAATATTATTCTGAGTCCAGTGACAAAGCTCCAGGAGTCTTCGGAATGCTTGTGGATTTTCAAATGGTTTGTCATGTTGCATATATATAAATATATATATATATATATATATATATATATATATATATATATATATATATATATATATATATATATATTATTTTTTTCTTTTAATAAAGTTTTTGAACCTGAGATTTCTTTCCATGGAACACAAACTGGTGAGAGCCCAACAGACTAGGTAGCAGTTTGGCGATAAGCCTGTCTGGAAGATCTTTACTTTTCTCCGAATGGATGTGGTTGTCCTAAGATTCACATGCTCTGATCGTTGTTTGGATGTCTATGGATCCAGTTTCCTCTGTACCTGCAGATCTAGCTCATTGTGTCCACTATTGAACATATTTATGGAGAAACCTTATATACAGAGAGTGGTGTGCTCAAATACACAGCCACAGTTTTTGTTTTATTCAGGTGCTGATACAATCTTTATTGAGCTACAGTTGCCACTTAAAATATCTTGTATACGTAACTGTCTCTTAATACTTCGTAATTCACCAAATGTTAAAGCTTTGCTTTGGCCCTCCAACTATTCTGAGGGCTATTTTGCAGAACATTTTTAAAGAAAACACAAAATAACCTAACAGAAATGGCCATACACATTTAAGACCTAAAAATTCCATGTGACAAATATAAATAAATAAAAAAATTGAAGCTTTAACAAGCTTTAAATGAAAAAATAATTAGAAATTAATTTCTCTTTAGAATCTTTAAGTTGTTAGATTCCCTTGAGTATTATTCCAGTTAATATGAAAATTATGAAATCTCATTTTTGTTTACAAAAAGGTTGTTTGTAACTTAATAATATTTAATGCTTAACATAAAATTATCTTCATTAGTAATAAATCTATATTTTATATCTATAATCACCCAGGGCAAGCAAGAACAATAAAGTAATTTACAATTAAACAATAAAAAAGAATTTGGTAAGCAGAAAGACAAAGGCAACAGACCTGGAAGGATAAACTTATTGACAATAACATTAGTGACATGTTCAAAATCCAAATAATCAATCAAATAATGACTACCAATTAAAAGAAAATCTAATTGGTTTAACAATGTATAATTGAAGGTCAATATTCAATGCTATTTTACCAAGAAGCTATCAAATTTAAAGAAACAATCAATATATTTAAACTAAGATTTTTTGCTAATTTTAAAACTAATTTACTGTATTAAGTCTTAACACTCACCGCATGTCTTCTGAAACAACAAGCTGAATGCCATTTGGTGAGTCTTACCTGCAGGTGGGACAGGATTTCTGTCCATCATCTTGACTTCCTTTCATGCATCTCAAACAAAATATGTGATGACATGGCAAAGTCACGGGCTCATCTGGCTCTCTCATGCATATCTGACAGTTAGGTCCAAACCTTTTGTAAATAAGGTTACAACTAGATAAAATGAAACATAGTGCTTGTGGACAATATTTCAACTTATTGTAAAAGAAGTAATTACCTAAAAAGCTGATCAGCTGCTGCTTGCCTGCAGGACTTCAGGATTTCAATCACAGCCTTAAAAGGCTTAGTGGACTTAACATCTGAGTTTTTATCCAGAACCTTAAATGAGTTTTAAAAAACTATTAGCATAACAACAGTATCTGCAATTTCAAGTTATTTTTATTATTATTATTATTTTTTTTAATGTTTTCCACTTTTTTGTTACCCACGAAGAAAAAAAAATGCTTAGGAATTTTACAAAAAACTTTAAGAATATAAAAAAAATAGAATGCTCTATGAAAAAAACATAATAATATAAACATAACACTGCAAAAGTTTGTTGTAAATCACAAAGCAACCACTCACCTTGCTTAATTTTTGCATGTGTTCAATTACCAGATGACTGAGTTGAAGGTCTTCACTTTTAAATCCCAGAACCATGTGTTCCACAAAGAGTGCAAGAATGTGGATATGTTTCCAGCTGTTTCTAAAAACATAGTGTACAGTATAAAAATAAGTGTAACAGATTTATTTTTGGGGGATTTGCAATAACTGTTAAAATATTGTAAACATTTCTGAACAAACGTGTTATTAAATGGTCAAGGACCCCTACAACATTGAAAAAAATGAACAACTTTGTTTATTGTTCTGTGTACAACACCAACATTAGAGGTTTAAGGTGTACCTTTTCCTAATGATAATCATAAACTGGCCCATAAAAAGTTTGAAAAATGTCACCAAAGTGGACACTTCTAAGAGACTATAAGGGGGAGGGCTAAGCAGTGCGTTGAGTGTGGGTGTGGTAAGGACGAGACAAAGTGGCAGCTAGGTTAGCTTAGTATAGACAGTGGGCAGAAGACTTATCGGTTCAAGCCAATTGCTTTAAGCTGTTGACACAATGAGGCCTTAAGCCAGTTCGCAAAGGCAGTGGGAGATCTTATTAAATGGGGAAGACAAGCAAGTTTAAGGCCATCTCATAACCCTAGACATGATGTCAGACATGCTCCATAGGATTCAGGTCAGTCACTTCTCTCACCCTCCAGAAACTGGCTGAATAAATTCTAGGGTTTTATTTATTTTCTCTTGGAAGTCAAATTAGGTGAAACAGAGATCCCATTTGTCAGGGTAAAAGTAATCATCTTGATAGTCAAAAGGTTAGGAGAGAGGAATATCACAATGAGGTTTGATAAAATGTTGCGATATTTTACCTGTAGATTATGAATATACAATTACCTAGAACTGGAGTTGTAGTTAATGGATACATCATTCAAACTTGAGGGTAAAACCAATTGAATATTCTTAGTTTAATTATTATAACTATTACCTGTTTACTCACCAGGATTTTAGGCCTCTCACACCGGGTGGCTTCTGGACCGGCTGTTAAAAATCCACTTATTCTAACCAGTTTAGTGACTTAGGCTAGGCTATCAGCAGAGCTATTAATTACCAACCAAAGAAATATTGTGTCGGTTTAATCAAATGTCAGCAAAAGGAGGGTGAATCTGGCCTGAGTGATAAACCACTCGCTGTACAATGAACACAACTACTACAAGTTAAAATAATTAGATCTTTATTTCTAATAATCCAGGATTACAGAAATCTAACATCTATGCAAAACACCACACACTACCAGAAAATAAATCACATGGTAGACAAAATGAATAATTTGAAAGAGGGGGAAAAAGGGGTTATTAGATGCCATTGAGATGGCTTATAACGGGTGCCCAAAGTAGACCAAATGTCAATACATTCATTAATGTCTGTTCAAAATAGTAGCAGATATAATAAGCAATAATAGATGCCGTTAACACAATGTGACCTCATTCACTTTATAATGTTTAAGGTTACAAATGCATTAACAATATAGCATTGTGGCCCCTTAGTAAATCTACATTCAACTAACTCAGTTAAATAAAGGGGGAAGGATGCTTTGATGCATAGTCAAGAAGGCAGAATCAAGATTGCGGGCCCCTACCATGCGGTCTAGGGAGGTGGAGCAACATATTTTGAATGATCTATCTATTAACTATAACTCCAGTTCTAGTTTATTATATATATTTATTCATAATCTACAGGTCTATCTGCATATCACAACAATGTCATATTACAGATATTATGTCTGCAATCATGGATCCTAGGCAGAAGTTCAGCTGAATAAACTGATTACTCGCCTTTATTCGCCTGCGACACAGCCAATCAGCTTTGAACCACGCCTCCACAAAAGAAAAACAGCATCCAAAGTTCATCTTAAAAGGCCTCCGATCCGCAACTCATCTGCTACCTAATGCGCAGGCGATGGTTGCACTGTGTGACTTCATTCAGATGACCCTTTTTCAACCCACCTCCAGCCCCTCCTCCAACATCATAGCCAAACTTAATCAGAGTGTCATTCCACCTCACTACATTTTAGTATCAGCTCACTGCTCAGCTTTATGGATCTCCCCATAAAGCTCAGCATACCGTCTCCCCAACCAACAGTCTACAGACTGACCAACTTCATCTATCTCCACTCCGCCACCAGTTCAGGCAAGGTTTGTTTGACCAGGCACAAAATACATGTCCAAATGACAATATAAGTGGAAAGACAGCAGGGTACATCATTCTATATGCTGATATAGACTCTTGTGTTGGGTATGAAATAGTAAAGCTTAATAAAAAAAATAAAAAAAAAAGTTTTTAGGAGCTTATACCATATGCAATAGAAGAGAATCATACCTTACAGAACCAAGTTCTTCTTTGCATCGATCCCCATACAAACGGAGGCTATTTTGAGAGAAAATCAACTCCATAGGCACTTGAAGCCTCTTCACCTGCCTCATCCAGTTTGGGCAGGGGTCTTGGGATTCCAGGAACTCAACACATGCCTTTGCTGCACGTACATCCAAAACCTAAAGAACAAAAGCCTATTAGGTGATTCAATGTGTTTTTAATTGCAAAAAAAAATAAATAAATAATTGTTTGTTAACGTTACATTCCATGGGTTTTCAATTAATTTACCCAATTCTTACATTAAAGAACACATTTACTCACAAATCTGTGAATGGGAACCCAACAGCAGAAAATTTATTTTACATTTAGGTGTAAGATGTTTCTAGCTCATAAATTAAAATATTGTTACCATTTCAGGGCAGTTTCTGTTGTGCTGGTTTCTTCGTAAGGGTAAAATAATTTCAGGTTGAAGAGAAATTATCCGTGAGAGGTTCTGAATGCGGGTTCGATATATATGGAAGGCAAAGTGAATGTGGAGGAGCGTAGGCCTTTCTGCATTTCCATTTTGTCTCATTATTTCATCAATGCAGCTGGCCAGCGCTTGGCATAAGAGCTGAGGAGCAAATACAGAAGTTGAGTAATAATTGCTTGCTATAAATGTAAATGTCATAAACCAGCAGGTGATTTAAAACAAATGCCAGTGCCTTATTATACATTTTGTTAGGTTTTCTGCCAATGTTGACATAATGATTTGCAAAACAATACTTTGAAAATGGGTACATTTATTGATAATTTTCACTATTTGAATCACTTATGTTTATAAATGAAATTGGTTGTTCACACAAAAATGTTATATTTCTAAGAACTAAAACAGATACACACTGCCTCATCTGTACAACTAGGGTTCTAAATGTTGTCATTCAACTTTTCTAAAAGATTAGAACCTTTTATAACCTTACCTCCAGTTCATCATCTGCTGCCACTTTTGTAGTCATGGACACAAAGTCCTGCAGGTACTTGTCAAAAAGCTCTTTCTCCAGTCTTTCATTTTCAGCCATGTACCTGCCAAATGATGTTTTCAAGAACACCTGATGGTAATGCAGAAATACATGACCTAAAAGAAAAATGGGGGGGAAAAAATCTTGGACAATATTTCTTAAAAGAAAGGTGACAGTTTTCTTACATAATTATTTATAAATAAAGATAAATATCTTTAGAAATATATTTTCACAAAGTCTTTTTTTTTTTTTACCTCTGTGTCTAAATGTCTGCATCATAAGCTCTTCCAGGAATTCTTTGATGCACCAGCTGAAGGGCATCTTACAGCGCATGGTGTTCCCACCAATGATGTGGCTTTGTACCATTAGCCTACTAAAATTCAGATAAAGGCGAAGATTTATATGATTAAAAGTACAGCAAGAATCACTTAATTATTCTTTAAAACACAAATTTCAATAAAATGTGAAGGATGTACATATTCTAATTCGTTAATTATTTAGCAGACATAACCACAGTTTCTTATGCTAAATTCTCAACAGAACACAGAAAACTGCTTTAAAATATTAATTGTCTAAGCAAATAAGTACAGCCCCTTTAACCCTTAAAAGGACAAGTTACCATTTTTGATCCCTTGCATACCCCTTACAAATGGAGTCCCCTCCGTCCCTCAGTGAGTTCTAAAAGCACAAGATCTATATCCAGCCACTCAGCAAAGATACTGCTACATGGCTGTACATATTATTTTGGCATTTGACCAATTAGATGAACCCTTGAATGATATATTTACCCACTGTAAATTAAGTCGAAAAAGATAATAAGTCAAGAAAAAAAAGGTAAAAAGCTAGTTGAAAAGTTAAAACATTAATAAGCTTATTTAGAAATTATATTTAGGCTTATAAACAAAAAAATGTAAGTGCCAGTATCAGCATTAGTGCCTCTAAGCTTATGTTGTACCAAAAAAAAATTTTTTTGTTTTACTTTTTTATTTTTATTTTCCATGAATTTCTTATAGAAGCACTTTTGTTATTTTATTAATATATTGGGGCAAGTTGATGTTTCTTGTTGATACACTGACATACATTTTTGCCATCAAAATACAATTTTTTTTAATGTTTCAAAGGTAATAAGGTCCTGTCCTGCATTCCAATAACACTATTGGATTGAAATTTTGATTTTCAAAGTATTCCACCGAGTGCCCTATAAAGGGTTAAATAACCCAATTTTTTTAAATAAGAAATGATGGTCAGCCCACCCTTATTCCATTTCATTCCTCTGACTTACTGGGGATGGTAGTCACAGGGCTAATATACATTGGTGTAAACCGACTTGGCAAGTTCAAGGGAATAATATAGAATTAAAATAGAATGTATTCAACTTTATTGTCATTACACTATCACAAGTACAAAGCAACAAAATGTACTCAGAACCTCTGGGACCCAAGCACAAAGCCCTAACCACTAGGCCACCACTCCCCCTGCAGTAACCCCACACAGGATTTAAAAGTGTAAAGGGGACTAATTTCCAATGAGAAAAGTAAGAGGTTAACATTTTTAATGTTGATTATAAACATGCCCTTATCCAACAAGAGGATTAATAGACTGAGTTTGTTTACCATTATTGTTACAAAACAAATTGTACAGGGAGAGTTTCAACACAGATTTTATGTTTAGTATTGTCATCAGTGCAGTACAACATTTCCTGTCTCGTTCTGTGCTGCTGAATTTCATATGTATATATTTATGTTTTAAGAAAGTGGTGGCTCAGAGGTAGCTTGTCTTTGAGGGTTTGGTTTTAAAATATATTGTTAAAGAGACTAGGTTATATGAACTTTAATAGAAAGTGCCTTGCAAAAGTATTCAGCCCCCTTTAACTTTTTAACCTTATACCACATGTAGGCCTTCAAACATAAGGATATAAAATAGTAATTTTTTGTGAAGAATCAAAAACAAGTGGGACACAGTCATGAAGGGGAGCAACATTTATTGAATATTTTAAAACGTTTTAACAAATAAAAAACTGGAAAATTTGGTGGGAAAAATTATTCAGCCCCTTGAGTTAATACTTGGTAGCGCCACCTTTTGCTGCGATTACAGCTGCAAGTCACTTGGAGTATGTCTCTATCAATTTTACACATTAAAAGACTGAAATTTTTGCCCATTCTTCCTTACATTTACTGTCGGAAAGCTGCATAAACAGAATTTTGTTTTGTATCCACTCTGTGTATACAAAATGACAATAATATTTATCTAAGTCTAAGTCTAATTCTATTACAAAACAGCTCGAGCTCAGTGAGGTTGGATGGAGAGCGTTAATGAAGAGCAGTTTTTAGTTCAGATACTCGATTAGAATTTAGGTCTGGACTTTGACTTGTCCATTCTAACACCTGGATATGATTATTTGAGAACCATTCAATTGTAGATTGTGCTTTATGTTTTGGATCATTGTCTTGATGAAAGGTAAATCTTTGTCCCAGTCTCAGATCTTCTGCAGACTCCACCAGGTTTTCTCCCAGAATGCTCCTGTATTTTCCTCCTGCCATCTTTCCATCAATTTTAACCATCTTCCCTGACCATGTTGAAGAAAACCAAGACCAGACCATGGGGCTGCCACTACCATGTTTGACAGTAGGGGTGGTGTGTTCAGGGTGATTAGCTGTGTAGCTTTTACGTTTTGCATTGTTGCCAAAAAGTTTGATTTTGGTTTCATCTGAGCAGAGCACCTTCTTTCACATGTTTGCTGTGTTGCCAAGGTGGCTTGTGGAAAACTTTGAACAAGACCTTTTATAGATATCTTTGAGAAAGATGTACAGTATATGACTGAATGTTGTCCTATGGACAGTGTCCCACCTCAGCTGAGTATCACTGCAGTTCATATAGAGTGATCATAGGCCTCTTGGCTGCATCTCTGATCCATCTTCTTAGAAGTGAACGTTTAGGGGGGTCGTGTCTTTGTAGATTTGCAGTGGTCTGATA